TATATACTTAATTTAATGTACTGTACGTTTTTACCTGGTTTACATTACGCACAAGAGATGTAAGAAGAGAACTGAAATTGTTTACGTCAGTTAATGTACGTTCTTACCTGCTATACAAGTACAGGTGTGGCAACCGTTCTCATCTTTGACATATCCAGCTTCACAATACACATAACAGATAATGATGCCACATTTATCCGATTCTAGTTAGGAATGAAACAATTAATGTTTAAGAAAAAAAGTCAATTAATCATATTAGAAATGAAAAGCGCCACATTTTTCCGATTCTACAGGTAATTAAGAATCAAACAATGAATGTTTAAGAGACAGACAAAGAACGTCAATTTACTGTAAAGCATATAAAATAATTGTGTTAACAATAAAGTAATCAGCTTGCAATAATAACCCCAAAAGGAGAGATTTTGGTCAACTGACTGACTGATTGTTTGCATTATATGATGGATTGATTATTGATTGATTTAATGATCGATTAAGATTGATTAGTTGACTGAATATCCTGACAGTGTAAGCTTTCATACATACTTAATCAAACACTGTGTTTCATTCCATGGCTACTGGAACTCCAAACAAGAGTGTCCCATTATACATTTTCTATTTAATCTGAATCTCAGAGTGAATGCATAACTCAGCTATGTTGTTCTTACCTTCTACAGTAGTTGGTTTCACTGCTGCTAGCTCTGTCACAACTTCAACATCTGCATCTTTTGTTGGTGCTACTTCACTCTCTAAAAATGTTAGAATAACCAAATTAAATTTTTAAATTTTCCCTTATTTTACAGGATTCATTTCATATGATAGCATACTTTGATAAAAATGTTTCCAAGTTAGAAAATCCAAAGAAATAAAACAATTTGGCCCCATATTTCAGTTGGTGGAGCAACAAATGGTTTAAGTATTATACCTGTACAGATGTATTCTTTTAAAACAAAATTACTCAACTATGAATATGAAGATGGGAGGGGAAAATGAAATATATACAAAAGTTAATGTACGTTTTTACTTGGTTTACATTACGCACAAGAGATGTAAGAAGAGAACTGAAATTGTTTACATCAGTTAATGTACATTTTTACCTGGTATACAAGTACAGGTGTGGCAACCGTTCTCATCTTTGACATATCCAGCTTCACAATACACATAACAGATAATGATGCCACATTTATCCGATTCTAATTAGGAATTCAACAATTAATGTTTAAGAAAAAAATAAAGTCAAGTAACTGTAAATCATATTAGAAATGAAAAGTGCCACATTTATCCGATTTTACAGGTAATTAGGTATCAAACAATGAATGTTTAAGAGACAGACAAAGAACGTCAATTTACTGTAAAGCATATAAAATAATTGTGATAACAATAAAGTAATCAGCTTGCAATAATTACTCCAAAAGGAGAGATTTTGGTCAACTGACTGATTGATTGTTTGCATTATTTGATGGATTGATTATTGATTGATTAAATGATCGATCAAGGTTGATTAGTTGACTGAATGTCCTGACAATGTAAGCTTTCATAGATACTTAATCAAAACATTGTGTTTCATACCATGGCTACTGGAACTCTGAACAAGACTGTCTTATCATACATTTTCTATTGAATCTGAATCTCAGAATAAATGCTTAACTCAGCTTTGTTGTTCTTACCTTCTACAGTAGTTGGTTCCACTGCCGCTAGCTCTGTCACAACATCAACATCTGCATCTTTTGTTGGTGCTACTTCACTCTCTTCTAAAAATGTTAAATAACCAAATTAAATAATAATTTATTTGAGTTTTTCTCTGTTTTATTTACACAATTTCAAGCACATTGCCCTATAATCTAAAGGGTAGGTATTTTAACTACAAAGCTAAAATACCTCCACTTGCTGTTTATTATTTATATTGTTTAACATTATGAGATCAAATGGTTTCAAGAGGCCTGTTCACACAAAATTTCCTTCCTGTAAATCCTGGTTACCTAACTAATTATAAAAAGCCTGTTATGATGTGTGATTGATGTTAATATAAAGTAAAATAATGAATTTTGAAAAGAGTTTTACCTGGTACACAGCTACAGGTAGGACAACCATTTTCATCTTTCAAGTAACCAGCAGGGCAGAGAAAAGAACAGATAAAATCACCACAGTCATCAGGCACTAATGTAAACAAAATAAAAGAAACTTGTTTTCTTAAATTTATTTTATATTGATTTATTTAGCTCCTAAATATGATGAAGAAAGAGACATTAGTTATGTTTCTTTATAAGTATTTATATTTATAATGTATATTTTTGTTTGGTTCAAGCATGGGAGATGCAAAAACAGAAAATGTACATTAAATATATTCTTTGCAAGTTCATCTATGTTCGTACCTTGTGTACAATTACAGGTGTAGCAACCATTCGCATCTTTGACATATCCAGCTGGACAATACAAATAGCAGACAAACGTGCCACATTTATCCGATTCTACAGGTAATTAGGAATTAAATAATTAATGTTTAAGAGACAGACAAAGAACATCAATTTATTGTAAAGCATAAGGCAAGACTTTTTTTATACCTTGTTTAGCGAACCTGCTGAATGCAAATATTGATGATTTCAAATAAAAATAAAGTTGTATTTTTGGCCAACTAGAGCACCCGCCATCACGAAAAAGTGGAAATTTCAGAACAAAAATGATAGTTTTTCTTATTTTTATTACGCCCTCCACTGCCTGGAAATCTCTAAAGATAAGATATGTATATTTCTTCATAATTATATAAATTTGAAGCATTTGAACATCCTATTTTACATTCACCAATATTTTTTTTTTTTTTATTTTCTCTTCTGTCTGGATAATATTAGCAAAACTATTTGCTAAATAAGAAAAAAAAATTTTATTTTTATTCCGCCCTCCTCCAATAATAAGTACGCAAAACAAGGAATAAAAAAAGTCTTGCCTATGATAATTGTGATAACAATAAATTAATCTGCTTGCAATAATCATTGATTGATAAATTAATTGGTTGCATTATTTGGCAGATTGATTATTAATTGATTGATTGATAGATAATCGATCAATTGATCGATCGATCAATAGATTTATTGGTCGAATCTATGTCCTGATAGTGTAAACTTTCATACACAATTGATCAAAATATCGTGTTTCATTCTATGGCAATTGGAACTCTGAACAAGACTGTCTTATACATTTTCTATTGAATCTGAATCTCAGAATAAATGCTTTACTCAGCTATGTTGTTCTTACCTTCTACGGTAGTTGGTTCCACTGCCGCTAGCTCTGTCACAACTTCAACATCTGCATCTTTTGTTGGTGCTACTTCACTCTCTAAAAATATTAAATAACCAAATTAAATTTTAAAAATATTTAAATTTCCCCTGTTTTACATGATTCATTTCATATGACAGCATACTTTGATAAAAATGTTTCTAAGTTAGAAAATCCAAAGAAATAAAACAATTTGGCCCCATATTTCAGTTGCAGTTCAGGAGCAACAAACGGTTTAAGTACTATACCTGTACAGATGTATTCTTTTAAAACAAAATTACTCAACTATGAATATGAAGATGGGAGGG